TGAAGCAATATGATTCTACGTTACCGCCTATCAAATCTCCTATAATATTGTTAAAACCTACAAACCCGTTGCCTGTACCCATGACCGAGGACGATTATGGTTTGCAGAAGGTATTTAAAAAAAATTACGCTTTTCAGTATGTGATAAATATAACTTAATATAACTTTTTATTAATGAAGTATATTTATTTATTTAAGGTAACTCAAAATGTGGTAAAAGTGCATTACATCGAGGGTAATCATGTTACTATCATGAAAAACAAGAATGTGTCAGCAGCAATTAATGGAGAACCGCCATTTCTGTTTTAATACTTTAATACTTTTTACTATAAACTAAAAAATTATAAATGTAAATGTAAATTTAAATTGTAAATAATTAGAATTTAAATTTAATTTATTTTATGTGTTTAAATCGTGTTTTAATTTACATTGCTAGTATTTATAATCTATAATGTGCGTAACGTGAACTAGATTTATGTAGACTATATTATAGATTAATACTGACAATACATATTAAAACATAGTCATAAATATATATATAATAGTTATAAATAATATGATGTTTGTGGTGTAGGTGGGGCAAAGCGGGATACTTAATATTTGAATTAATAAAACAAGATAGAAAGAAGAGCACAAATAATCTTTTTTTATAAACTCTTACCTAATCAGCAGAAATTTTTAAGTTTTTTAAATGTTTTTAATATTTATTTTTCATTTATTATTTTATTATACACTGTACAATTTATTGTAAAAATTATATACAGAGACTGCCAAAAGCTCGGGAAAGATAAAGCGTCGCGCAAGTTTCTGAGTGAATGAAAATGCACGTGGAAGAACGTATGTGTGTGAGAAACATGCGCGAAGCCTTAATTTCTTCACGTTCTCGCCTTCGCTAGCGCTAAATAACACCAAAATCAAATATAACTCTACGAAAAAAATAGTAGAGGCTTCAACAATCTCGCATTCTTCAGGTCTCGAAAAGCCCTTTCAAACGAGCCCTCACTTGACTCCACATGCCATTTAAAATTTTCAATCCCTCCAAACCCCGCACCTCCTTCCCCCGGAGGATTGAAGTGGGTATTTTCAAGGTTATATGATAGATTACATTTTACCCATTGTAACTCAATAAATTTCAATCCAATATCTCAAACCGTTCAGAAATTATTTAGATGACCCCAAACTTTTGGTAATCTCTGTATATTTATTAAATACTTCTTAAATGTATATTTCATATTGATTACTTATCTTACTTATTTAAAATAAATTTTGAATAAATGATATACTATTTTTGTACATGTCACATTTTATTGAACCAAAATTGAAAATAGTATCACTTTGGTTTAATTTTTGCATTTGATACAATAGTTTCTTCTCAGGAATGTATACTCTTAGCGTCATTTTTTGAAAAAGGTAATTTTATACTGATATATGCATTTCGTATATAGTGTTAGGTATTATTATACCATAATACTCACTAAATAAATGTGTGTAGGCAATAATAAATTCCTTATTTCTATTAATATATCTATTTACATAAAAATGTTATGTCTTGCTCATCTTTCATTAGATCATCCAAAAATTTCAAGTAAAACGGGATCAATTAACAATGTGAAAAAATTTGATACGGAAATTCGAAATCATTCTTTTGCGAAACTCATAAAAATGCCTCATGGAAACGTCAGTAACAATAATATTCATAACAGAAAGCTGAAAGAAAGTCGCTACAGAGGAGCCAGGTGTTTTATTAAGATATCTATTTGGTGTAGTAAAAAATGAAGATTTTAGCTCACAAACCTGTTTTGATCTCTCTACTAGAAAACAGAAAACTACTGAAACGATTGAAGTATTTCTTATACCGGATATTAATGGATGTAGAACCGTATTTAACCGTTTAGCACTAAATGTAAAATTTTCAGCGACGTCTTTGCATTATAACACAAACAGCATCAATGCTTTGTCGCGTCCGCGTGTTAATGTTTTTGCCGCGAGGGACGCGGGGCTGGGATCGTGAATGACGAGATTTGATGAAGGCGTGTAAGTGATTGAAGGGAGGATTATATTTTGTTGAGGGAAGTACGATCAGAGTATTGGCTAGTCTTGGGGGGTCGAGCGGAAAACCCATTTTGACTGCCGTGCGGCGTAATTTTTTCCTAGATTTTTTTGTCAAGGAATAGGAAACAGATCTGACTCGAAACTGATAAAGAGATAAAACTCTAATAGATGCACCTTTGTTCATCACTTCATACTTTTAGGGAGGGGGAACAGAATCCCAGTGAGAAACAATTTGTCGACCCGACGTCGATTCGACGTCGAAAAGTGGGTTCGAAATAAGATCGAAATTGACATCAACATCGATGTCTTTTTGACTCCCATGTCGACATCGGAAGAGCACACGTC